CAGGCATAGGCCAGATCACAGGTACCCCGTTTGACATAGGTGCCGCAGGTCAGGTCTCAGGTGTGAATGCAGGCATGGGCCAGACCACAAGTACTATCTTCGGAGCAGGTGCCAATGCAAGCACAGGTCAGGTCCCAGGTTCCCCGGTCAGTGTAGCCGGTGTACCTTATGGGCTTGATATTGGGTTCGTAGGGTCGGGTCCCTATGTTGATCCACTTGAAGAGTTAGGAGTTTATCCGTCGGAATCATCCACACAGGTCTGTCCAATTATTAGTTCCGTAGCCGGTGGGTCACAAGGGGGTCATAGAACCAGCAGTGTTGGCAGAAGCCGGAGCGTAGGTTTCCCATACGAGCGCAGGTCCAGGAGGAGTATCAACACAGGAAGGTTTGCGAGCAGTCCAGCACTTCTCAGGATGGTCCATTGTGATGACAACTCCAGCGAGGTACTGCGTACGGGGTCGAGTGTGTCTGGTTGTACAAGTAGGATTGGTGTTCCCACTCAGTCCGGTGTGACTATCGCTCAGGTTATTGGAAATGGGACCCAAACTGGCCTTACTTCAACTTTTGAAGAGGAGTGTGTAAGAAGGGTTGATGAAAGCTTTTATACTCCAAATGTTGAGGAGTTGTTGAAGGGTTTAACAGCCCCTCTCGGAGTTGTTCATAATGTGTCGCCCTCTGAGGTGAGGCAGCATCTAGACAATTGGATTGCAGCTGCCAGGAGTGAGGTTGAGGCGTTGGAGCAAATGTCAGCTATGAGGCGTCTTGTTGGTAAGGAGGCTGATTTGGAGGCGAAGGTTCCACAGACGCAGATATTACCAGCAAAGGCGGTGTTCACTGTCAAGCCCGGCAGTGGAGGCAAGTTTTATCGCAGGAAATGCAGGGTGGTCGGATGTGGCAACTTCGAATCCAAGTCTGGCGACATCGATGTCTACGCTGGAGGGATACCTGCAGATGTTCTGCGCACGTGCCTTGTTGAGGCCTCGTCCCGGGCACTCAGCGCCTTCATAACTGATATTAAGAATGCCTTCCTTTTGGCGCCCATCCCGCAAGCTGAGCGGACCAGAATCCTGCTCCGTCCTCCGAAGATTTTGGAAGTAATGAACATAACTCAGCCTGGCGAATTATGGTGGGTCGAGCGAGCTGTATATGGACTGCGGCAGTCGCCCCGCTGGTGGGGTGAGCACCGTGATAGCGTGTTTGCTCAGGCTCGGTGGAACAGCAAGGACCGTGGTATTTTGAGGTTGGTGCAATCCGACGTTGAGGGCAATCTTTGGAAGGTTGTCACTGAGTCTGATGAGATTGTAGGTTTTGTCATCATTTATGTGGACGATATGATGTTGCTGATGAGGCCGGGTGAGGCTTCTGGCCTGCATGAGTGGATAAGGTCCAAGTGGGATTGTACCCCACTCGAACAAGCTACTCTTTCGAGGCCTATAACCTTCCTTGGGGTAGAAGTGCATGTTGAGACCAATGAAGCTGGGAAGACTGGTTTTGCGTTGTGTCAGCGTGCGTATATTGAAGAACTCGCAAGGAGTTACGGTTTGACAGTTACAAGCAGGGTGTCACCAGTCCCAAGGGACTGGATACGTGAAATGCCGGAGCCTGAAGATCAACCATGCCCTGATGTGATCAGAAGGGCCCAGCGTGTTACGGGGGAAGTTCTTTGGGTTGCCCAAAGGTCTAGGCCCGATGTGGCGTATTGTGTAAGCCTCATGGGCTCATGGATCACAAAAGTTCCTTCACTGGTCTGCAAGATCGGTATCAGATTGATTGAGTTCTTACTTTCTACTATGGACCAGATGCTCTCCCTGACCCCGGTTGGAGACATGGCTCCGGGAATCAAGGTGTTCACAGACGCATCCTTCGCTCCGTTTGGTGGGAAGTCGGTGTCGGGTATTCTCCTGCAATTCAGAGGAAGAAATGTCCTTTGGAAGGGGCAGAGGCAGACCATAGTATGTTTGTCCACGGCCGAAGCCGAGCTTGTGGGAGCGTGCGAGGGCGTTTTGCTAAGTCAGAGCCTACGTGCGTTGATTGATGAGTTCGGACTACGCTTGGACGTTACGACACTTCACGTCGATAATGTCGCAGCCATCGTCCTTGCGGAGGGTGGAGGATCCACCAGAACGAGACACTTGCGCGTGAGATCGGCATTCATTAGGGACCTCTTACGTAAGGATGAGCTCCGTGTGGAGCACTGTCCAGGTGACGTACAACCTGCCGATATCCTTACTAAGATCCTACCTGGACCTCGTCACCAAACCCTGAGTAGTCTCTTGGGTTTAGGACCTCCCCCTCAGGTTGCAAGGGTCATCCCCGATGGAGACCAGGTAGATAGGATTAGGCTACAGGGTCTTAGTGTATGGTTGTGTCTCAGTTGAAGAGGTTGAGTATGATGAAGGGGTTAGTCCGGAACTCTCTCTGGTAATCGTCATGATGGCGTTATCTGTGTTGTTCGTTTGGGAAGCGGGGAAATACTGTTTCCGCATGTGTTTTAGAGAGTTGCCTCAGATCAGGTCAGTGAGACACGAGGATCCAACGGTTAGGGATAGAAGGGCTAGGAGGCAAGATGCTGTGAGAAGAGCAATAGCTTCCGAGGCTGAAGGGCTGAGGCGCAGATACGGAACCTCCACTGAGGAGGAGTCCGATACCAGGAATGATTCGGGGAGACCACCTCCCCCTCCACCTGAGGACCCATCTCCAAATTCTGAGGTTCAGCCACGGTTTGGACTTGACCGACCGACATCCTCAGCATCCTCGCGTACCGTGCATCCTCCACGGCCTGGATTTGGCCGGTCTGACATCGTCCCTGTAACATTGCCCACCTCATCGCCTCGGCTCGTCTATTCCGGCGTTGATCCACCCCCGCCTCCACTTCAGGTTGATTTCCGAAGCCAGAGACGTGAGGTAGGTGTGCAAACTGAAGAACCCAGGGGTATGACGTACGACGAGCTTCATAGACTACAGGTCCTTACCTCCACTAGTCGTACCCCAGGAGTAGTCCATCTTTTTCCTGGCTGCCAGGCTTTAAGAGGTGTTTCAACAAATCAGAGACACTTCTGTCGTTACTGTCTTCAGGTGGCAGCGAGAACCGGAATCTGATTTTTGTGTATCTTCTCCTTTAAGGGATCGATACAAGGAGGAGTGTAGAATTCCTGTTCCGAGCCTTTCGAACGGTTGAGTTCCGCTCTTGACGTTTTGGTTCTAGCCATGAGAGGCTTTCTGAGTGGAGCTGAGCTCCATGTTGAAGAATTCATGATAATGCTACATGCCTTAAGGCACAACCGCTCATAGAGCATTTGAGATCGTTCAGAGAACATCACTTTGCGTCGCTGTGAGTGAAGAAATTCGACCGCCTCTAGTTCCATGGATGCAACCCGCCACTGAGTGACTGTTGGCAACCTCTACTTCTGGAACTTAAGGTGGATATGAATCCGAATGATTATGATGATGGTGACCAACAAAGGTCTATATACCTTCTAGAAGCCATATAGGAGCCCTATATACCCCAAACTCCCCACCTGTAGTTTCCTTTAACCCCTAAAACCCTAAACCCTAAACCCCTAAACCCAAAACCTTAAACCCTAAACCCTATATACCCTCAACTCCCCACCTGTAGCTTCCTTTAAAGATTCCTGAGGCTCCGGAGGCGGTGCGCCCGGCCGAGGCGGAGACGGGTCCACGACTGCAGCTGAGCTGCCTCTAAAGTTTGGCTGGTTTAGGGTTTAAGCCTTTGGGTTTAGGGCTCATAGGGTTTAGGGTTTAGGGTATTATAGGGTATAGGGTTTAGGGTTTCGGGTTGAGGACTGACTTTTTTGGGGGGTTTGGAGGGCTTACTATTTAAGGTTTGGAGTTTAGGCTTCGGGTTGAGGACTTTCTTTTTCGAGTTTGTAGGGCTGGCTTACTGTTTGGGGTTTGGGGCTTCGGGCGGGTAGGGTTTAGGTTCAGGCTAAAGTTTGGTGCTTCGGGTGTGGGGTGGAAGGTTCTTGGGTTTGGGAGCTTACGTTGTTTGGGAAGGCCGACATCTGTAGGGTAGCAGGTCGCTCGCGGGAGAATTGAGACGGCTGCTCTTGCAGTCGACGACCTAAGACACAACCCTCGCAACAATATAGGGTTTAGGGTATCGGGTTTAGGGTTTAGGGTCAACCATCTCCGTGGATTCGCTTAAGAAAAAACCAAGAAACCTACAAACCCTCAACCGCAATAAGCCCCCCAAAGTCCCAAAAACCCTTAAGCTTAAGCCCATAAACCCCCAGTAACCCTAAGCGTGAGTCTTGTGCCGGGTGATTCCGCGGCTTCGCAAAGGTCCCCAAAAGCGACTCAAAGTCGACTCTGGCAGGTCCGGGGCCCCAAGGGCGCTCGGGTGAAAGGGCTCGGTTCAGCAATCCTCTAGAAGGGACCCGGGTAGGGTAGGGTATATATGGGAGCTTCCGAAAATAAGGGGGTACCTTATTTTGGGGATCCTTATAATAAGGATCCTACTATTGAGGGTACTCTTTTTGGGGTCCTCTCTTTTCGGAAACCCCCATATAAGCACAGGGTATTTGGAGTACGGTGTCTTGGTTATGGGGTATATCGCATCGTGGGGTCTAGGGCCCTTGAGCGTCCGGCTCATGGGCTTTAGGATTTCGATCGTGTGTAGGTCATAGGGTTTTTCGGGTGTTACTTTAGGGTGTTGGGAATAGTTGTTTCAGGGGTGATCCAGGGCGTGGGCTTTTGGAGTTTAGGTCAAAGGGCTGGTTCGCAGGCTTCTCGGGCTGCAGGTATTTTAGGAAGATATAGGGGCCCAGGGCTTCTATGTTTTTTTCTTGCAGGTTTTGCGAATTCTTCCCGTCCTGTTTTTTTCTGCTCGGGCCGGGAGCCTGGGGCTTACGGGCCGTGGACTTCTTAGGGGTTAGGGGTTTCTGGGTGCTCAGGTTTCATGAGAGCTCCGGGGATTTAGGGTGTAGGCAACTGTCAGGGCAGGATTTAATTTAGGGCTTAGGGCTTCCAGGGCTTTAGGGCTTCTCGTGCTTATAGGTTTCCGGGCTTGGGGGCTGACACGGCTTAGGGCCCTAGGTTTTCGACGTGTTGCATTACAGGGACTTAATGTTGAAGGGTTCGGGGTTTGGGCCTTATATTGGTGGTTCCCTCAACCCTAAATCTTAAGCCCCTAATCAATAAACAGGAGTAAGGGCTTCTGAGGACTGGGGCGTGGAGGCTGTATGGAAAACCTAAACGCCCAAACCCGAAGGGCTTCTAAGGACTACCTGGACCCTAAAGAACCCAGTTTTTTTAGGCTTCCTCGTTATGATTCCTTAGCTTAAGGTCCTTAAATGGTAGATTATTCGGGGTTAAAGTAGCGCTTATAGTCTATACTGGGTCTAGCATCGGCTGCCCAGGTTGAGAGATCATATATTTCAGTAGCTCGAAACCCTAAACCCTAAAACCCTGTAAAGGGCACAGTAGGGTTCTCTAATAGGGTTCCCTTTCAAATGGTACTACAGGGTTCTGCAACATGAACCCCCTTCCGGGTTGGGGGTTGGGGTTTCTTGAGAGCAAGGTTTTTTGCAGGCTTCTGGGCTCATGTTGGCGCTTCTGCGACTAAAGTCTGTAGGGTTTGCAAAGTATCGTGGCTAATGTTGCTCCTGCAGGGACCAGGGTTTCAAGGTCTGTCGCGTCTAGCATTCATAAGTCTAGAGTTCAGGTGACCCTAGACTGCAGAGGAGCTAGTTACACACCTATGTGTTGAAAAACGAAGCGCTTAGACCTTTGCTTATCGGTTGCCCCAAACCCTTTGTTTATCAATAGCCCCTTGTCCAGGATCACTGAAGAAATCCCATGCCCTAAGTGTCCATATACCACTGGGGTCGCCCAGGGAACTTTGATGTTATACTTTGGCACCAACGTACCTCTGCTTTAAGGCCAAAGTATACATTATTTGGGCACCTGGACCCTTAAAGGGGATCCTATCATAGAACCCCGCAGTACCGTTCAATTTATAGCTCTGGAACCCTTGCAACCCTAAACCCCTCTACGCCTCCTTGAAGGGGAACCCTAGAACGGAAAGGTTCAGACCCCGCCCCGGAGCCTCACCCACCAGGCTTGGTGGGACCCGGGGCTTCACTAAGCTTCGGGAGTTGGGGGGGTATGACCGTAAACCCTAAACCCGGGGCGTAGGGTATGGATTCTTGGGGTTTAGGGTTTAGGGGTGTAGGGTATATGGATTCTTTGGGGTTAGGGGTTTAGGGATACGGGTTTAGGGAGTTTAGGGCCGTAGGGTGTAGATTCATGGGGTTTGGGGGCGTAGGGGGTGTAGGGGTGTAGAGTGAGGATTCGTTGAAGGTCCTGCTTTGATTGAAAGCCCTGTACCCCTCAACCCGATAGCGTGGGCAGCTGGGGGTTTCGTGCTGTGAGGCTTAGGCTTTGAGGGTTTTAGATATTGGAAGTTCATGGTTGAGTTTGGTGATGTCCAAAAAGGGTCCTGCCCCAAAGTTTGGGGTAAAGCATGAGTGGGGCAGGAGTACTATTTGTTGAGACGTTGCAGACCTCCATGTTATTCTGGGGCTTTGGGGTTCCGGTTTAGCACTTTGCCATATGCCGCTCCACAAGGATGCCAAGTACACAACATGGGCTGAGGGGCGATAGAGTTTAGGAGTTTAGTACCTGTGCCCATACGCTCCATAGTAGCCTTATAGGGTGCCGCTCCACAAGGATGCCAAGTACACAGAATGGGCTGAGGGGTGATAGAGTTTAGGAGTTTAGTACCTGTAACCAGAGGCTCCATAGTAGTTCCTTTTTGAGGTTACCTTATAGGGTCCTAAGTATAAAATTGGTTGAACCAAAGAAAGGAGCAGGAGTTTAGTACCTGTAGTTTAGTCTGTGGTGAGAGCCTTGTGCCCCTAATAGTCCTGGGACGAGATCGGGGTTCACTTCCAGAGCCCTTGAAATTGAAGGAACCCCCTAAACCCTAAACCCCTAAACCCTAAACCCCTAAACCCTAAACCCTAAAACCCTAAACCCTAAACCCCTAAACCCTAACACCCTAAACCCTAAACCGAACCCCAAAAGACCTGCCAGGAGAGACGGCGATCACTTCGTCGGCGTCGACCGGGAATCTAGGCACCGGCAGCAGCTGGGCCTGTCGGGGGTTTTGTGGGCTTAACTTGTTGCTCATGATTCTATCTCTACGGTTCATATAGACATATACATATATATATA